ACCATCAAACCCGGTTTAAAAGCTGCTCTAATAATCTGAACAAGACTCCATCTTCAACAATCTCCCACTTGGAGGCTTGGTCAACAATTATCTGCCATCCAAGAACATGCATCTTCTGTAAAACCCCTGATCTCTCTCTCGTTCACGCCTTCACATCAAGTATCTGGAAGGCCCGTTGAAGCCATGCATAGCTTCAACTTCTCCATTGTCATCGCCTTGGTAAGCATGTCTGCTGGATTCTTCGTACCAAGGATCTTCTTCAAATTTATAGTACCATCTTCAATCAATTCTCGAATGAAATGATACCGCATCTTGATGTGTTTCGTTCTGCTGTGAAACACCGGATTCTTCGCGAGATGAATAGCACTCTGGTTGTCACAATATAGACCGCAATCTCCCTGCTTCATGCCCAACTCTGAATGAAAGTTTTTCAACCAGATCAACTCCTTGGCCGCTTCAGCAATGGCCATATATTCTGCTTCTGTAGTTGAAAGAGCCACGCTCTTCTGTAGTCTGGACATCCAACTGATTGCCGTACCTCCAATAGTGAATACATACTCTGTAGTGCTCTTCCCGGAATCACAACAGCCCCCCAAATCAGCATCGGCAAATCCTTCTAGGATTACACCATTCCTCCTGAAACATAGGCCAGTTTCAGAAGTGCCTTTCAAGTAGCGCAACAGCCACTTAACTCCTTCCCAATGTTCCTTCCTTGGATTTGACATGAACCTGCTAACAACTCCCACTGCATGAGCAATGTCCGGCCTTGTTGACACCATCGCGTACATCAAGCTGCCAACGGCTAATGCATAAGGAACTTTAGCCAATTCTTCTTTGTCTTCACTGGTCTTTGGAGACTGTTGCTTGGAGAGTTTCAAATGACTCCCTAACGGTGTACTCCTTGGTTTGGCATCCGTCATTTTGAACTTCTCAAGGACCTTCTGAATGTACTTCTGCTGTGAAAGCTGTAAAGTACCTTCTATCCTGTCTCTGACTATGCTCATCCCAAGAATCTGTCTCGCTTCCCCTAAATCCTTCATCTCAAACTCTTCGGACAACTTCTTCTTAAGCTTGTTGATCTCCTGCATGTTTGCTCCAGCCACCAACATGTCATCAACATACAAAAGAAGAATAATGTATGATGACTTGAATTTCTTCAAGTAACAGCAATGGTCCATCTTGCATCTAGTGTACCCATTCCGCTGCATAAAACTGTCAAACTTCAAGTACCACTGTCCAGGAGCTTGCTTCAGTCCGTATAGACTCTTCTTGAGTTTGCACACCAACTTCTCCTTACCACTCACTGGGAAACCTACTGGTTGAGCCATGTAAATATCTTCTTCAAGGTTGCCATGAAGAAAAGCAGTCTTTACATCCAGCTGCTCCAATTGCAAATTTCCAGCAGCAACGATACCAAGGATCAACCTAATAGTAGTCATATTCACAACCGGAGAGAAGATTTCATTGTAATCAACCTCCTTCTTCTGTTGGAACCCTTTGACAACTAACCTCGCCTTGTATCTTTTGCTTCCATTTGCTTCATCTTTGATTCTGAACACCCACTTGTTCTCCAAAGCTTTCTTTCCCGGTGGTAGCTTGACTAAGGACCAAGTTTGGTTCTTGTCAAGTGAATCTAACTCATCCTCCATGGCCTTCTTCCACTGTGTGGAATCTTTCACGGTTAGTGCCTCTGAGTAAGATTCTGGCTCTCCATTCTCGGTCAGCAACAGGTAATTTGCTGAAGGAGAATATCTGTTAGGAGGTCTTCTGTTTCTAGTGGACTGTCTAATGTGTGGAGTAGCTGCCTCTGAACTCCCACTATCTTCATCACTCCCACTATCTTCAGAAATTCCTGTATCTCCTGAGCTCCCACTGCTCCCTGAGCCTCCAGTCATCTCATCACAACCAACAGGTTGTGCTATGTCATCTTTAGTCATCCCATCAAACACCACTTGTTGTTTGTTTTCTGGTTGCTTGGCTTTGCTAGTTTCTGCTGCAAGACCATCTTTATACAGGGCATTCTCGTTGAATGTGACATCTCTACTTCTGATAACCTTCTTGTTGTGGTTGTCCCAGAACCTGTAGCCCATGTCATCCAACCCGTACCCAATAAAGATACATTTCTTTGCCTTTGCCTCGAGCTTTTCACTATCTGCATCTTGAACTTTGACATAAGAAATACAACCAAAAACTTTTAAGTGAGTAAGAGATACCTCTCGACCTTTCCATTCCTCTTTTGGAATTTTGAAACCTATGGGAGATGAGGGTCCTCTGTTGATCAAGTATGCTGCTGTGTTCACCGCATCGGCCCAGAACATCTTTGGGAGTCCTGCATGCAATCTCATGCTCCTGGCCCTCTCATTCAGTGTTCTGTTCATTCTCTCTGCAACACCGTTTTGTTGTGGTGTTTCTGGAACTGTCTTCAGCATTCTGATCCCCTGTTCAGCACAATACTCTACAAACTCTGTGCTACTGTACTCATCCCCATTATCACTCTTTAAACACTTAATTTTGAGATTTGTTTCATTCTCAACTGCAGCTTTGAACATCTTAAAAGTGTTAAAGACATCAGATTTATTCTTAAGAAAATAAACACATACCTTCCGTGTAGAGTCATCAATGAATATAACATAGTAGCGGGAACCTCCAATTGAAGAGACCTTTGTAGGTCCGTAGACATCTGAATGAATCAGCTCCAACCTTTCTGTCTTGGGTGATTGTCACGTCTTCACAAGGGTTACTCTCTTTTGTTTGCCAAGTACACATGGCTCACAAAAGTTTAACTTTGAATTCTTCAAATCTGGGATTTTGCCCTTTGAAGACAGCATCTTCATTCCGTTCTCACTTATGTGCCCAAGTCTTTGGTGCCACAAAATAGAGACACCTGTATCTTCAACTGCTGCGTTTGCTTCATCTGTGGACACTTCAACCATGTACAGTGTACCATGCTTCTGTCCACGGGCAATGACCAGCTTTCCCCTTGTCACTTTCCATTGCTTGTTTCCAAAACTAACGTTATGGCCTTCCTCATCAAGCTGTCCCACTGAGATCAACATCTTCTTCAGGTCTGGAATATACCTCACATCTTTCAACCTCCAGGTTGTACCCAAAGCGGTACTGAGATCAACATCCCCAATACCCGTGATCTCCAGGGATTTGTCATCTGCCAAACGAACTCTTCCGTTGTAGGGCCTGAAATTTTTCATCAAATCCATGCAATGACAAGCATGAAACGACGCACCTGAATCCATGATCCAGGACTCAATTGAATTTTCAACGCTGCAAATTAGAACATCTTCATAGTCCTCTGCCACGTTCACCTCCTTCTTGCCTTTGTCTACAGAGGCTTTTGGGCACTGATTTCTGAAGTGTCCATTCTCCTTGCAATTCCAACAATTGATGTCCTTCCTATTCTTGGATTGACCTCTCTTTCTCGACTTTGATCTTCCTTTCTTGTTACCCCCTCTAGTGGATTTTATGCCCCTATCTTCAGTACTTAACAAACTATTGGAGCTATCCCCCGAACTCCTCCTCCGGATATCCTCCTCACCAAGGATTAAGTCATGAATACCTTCAAAGGTAAGCTTAGTGGTTCCAGTCGAACTACTAACTGCTGTGACAGTACCGGACCAACTATCGGGCAAAGATGATAACAAAAGTAATGCTTGAACTTCATCATCGAATTTGATCTCAACCGAGCCTAACCTGGATATGATTGAATTAAACTCGTTGATGTGATCTGTCACGGATGCACCTTCCTTCATCCTTGTGTTCACCAATTGTCTGATTAAGAAAACCTTGTTGGCCGCTGAGGGTTTCTCGTACATGTTGGATAACGCCTTGAGCAGTCCAAACGTTGTTTTCTCGTTGACGATGTTGTAAGCTACGTTTTTCGCCAACGACAACCTTACCACACCAAGAGCCTGTCGATCCAGCAAGTTCCACTCCGCTTCCGCCATTGATTCTGGTTTGTTCTCAGACAAGGGTAGATGAAGCTTCTTCTGGTAGAGATAATCCTCGATCTACATCTTCCAGAAAGCGAAATCTTGACCATCAAGTTTATCGATCTTAACCTTCCCTTCATCAGCCATAGCTCTGACACCACTTGTTACGATAAGGCAAAGATAAACGATAAATTAAGGAACAAGAACACAAGAATTTACGTGGTTCACAGAATCGGTGTGATTCTGCTAGTCCACGGCGAACGAGAGAGAGCTGAGTATTATTATGTCGGCGTCAGAGGTTTATAATTAAGTACATTAGGGTGTTTAAATAGGTTTAAGAAGACCACAAATTAAGCCCACAAATTAAAAAATCCGTCCCGTATACCCGGTCGGGTACCCTCCTTTACCCGGTCGAGTATATGCTCAGAAAGCTTACTCGGGTCCATACCAGGGCGGTTAACCAAAACAGAAGCTAAAACCTTCACTGACCCGGTCGGGTCTCACGTTCCAGTGAGTCCCCAGGTCTGGGCTTCAACATACCCAATCGGGTAGACCACATATACCCGATCGGGTAGACCACATATACCCGATCGGGTAGACCACATATACCCGATCGGGTTTCCATTCCAGAAAGTTGCCCGACCAAAATCACCATCAAACCCGGTTTAATAGCTGCTCTAATAATCTGAACAAGACTCCATCTTCAACACGTACTTGTCAGTACATTTATCTTTTTATATAATTTTTCTCACGGATTTTTAGCTGCGCCCCCGACTTAGCTCATAAGCATTACAACATTTTTTCTTAAAAGCCTCATCAACATTATCATCAACATTAGCACTTAGGCCTTGTTTGGTTCAAAAGAGTGGAGGGGAGGGGGAGTCAAGGAAGGGAAGGGGGGAGTCAAGGAGGAAAGGGAAGGAAGGATTTTGATAAAACTTTGTGTTTGGTTAGAGGAAATAGGAGGAAAAGTTTAATGAAAATATTTTTCCAATTTACCTTTATTTGATATAGTTTACTTAAAAAATATATACATCTCTAACTATTGCATGTGAATATTACTTTTATGATCATGAGTCATAATATTTATTTTGATTTTGTTTTTACTATTTTAATTTTATAATTTTTAATTTTTTTAATTTTTTAATTTTTACGTTTTAATTTTTTTTTAATTTTTAGTTTTTTAGTTTTTTAATTTTTCATTTTCAATTTTTTAGTTTTTTAATTTTTAAGTTTTTAATTTTTTAATTTTAAAATTTTCCATTTTTATATTTATTTTTAAATTTTTCAAAACTTTTTTTTTACCTTTTTTATATTATAACTTTTTGTCCATTCACGTAGGAGATGGATAATTTGTGGTTATCAACATGTTTCCTCCGAAATATTCCGATTTGGGGGTTTAAATGGGAGGAAGTAGAGGATTTTGGAAGTCTTCCACTATCCTTTCCTTCCCCCCTATTTCCTTCAACCAAACACACACAAAACTCTCACTTTCCTCTCCTCCCTTCTGAAACCCTCCAACCAAACAGGGCCTTAAGGTCACTCGATTTATTACATTTTTCTCTGCCTAGAGAACCTCTTCACTCATTATCTCCCGCGACTATTCTGCATTATTCTCCCTTTGTTGCTTTGGAATATAAATGAAGGAAATTTTCATCTGCATAACAATGATTCTTTTGCGCTCTTTTCACAATTGCCACCTTTAGCGTGTCTCAGCTTGCTTCACAAATTTTATCGCATGAAGCTTAAATCGTTTGCGACAAGAATAAACAAGTTAAGATCGGATCTCTCAATTTGCACAAGCACACTCGATCTATTATACCATGGAGCCATATTCACCCACTTCACATCAATGCTTACCTTAAGCACTATGTGACAATACAAGCCTCGATCAACATGGTCATCATCTTTATCCACAACTTTAACTAGTGGAATAGTGGATAATGCTTAGTGGAGATGAGATTACATATACAACTATAGCATACTTTTATCAATTAATTGTGTAGAATTAATACTAGTGGCTTTATCCATATTTTACGTAGTGGGGTGAGATGAAATACAACTATAAAATATTCACCAAAATATAAATAAGAATGGTTACATCCTTAATTTCAGTCCAGCAAATCAAACCAGACCAGCAAATTTCAGTCCAAAAGGAAGCATCCTCAATTGATATCTTAAAGGAAAAATTGAAAATAATAATCCCAACTATTGCCGGTCCGCTGAAAATAATCTCAACTATTGATTATTTTTGTATAATCCCAACTATATAGACTATCCGCCAATAATGGTCCATGATCATATATTACCTCTATAAAAAGTGAATTTTAAATAGAAATTAAGCGTAAAAATTAAAAGTTGAGATTATTTAGAGGGATTACTTGTTATATCTCACCCCATCCACTTTAGAAACTACAAGAATTTATTCATAGGGACCATTATTGGCGGAAGGTCCATAATGTTGGGATTATTCTGTAATAATCAATAGTTGGGATTATTATGAGCGGACCGCCAATAGTTGGGATTATTACTATCAATTTTTCTTATCTTAAAAGGCAAAAAAACTATCTAGATCGAGAAGTATATTTAAATACTATGGAGTACTATTTTGTAGATAACTACTTAGGGTATACTTGGTAGTTAAGTTTTGGAGGGGAGAGGAAGGTGACAAGGGTTTATAACCCTCCCTTTCACGTTTGAGAGTTTAAAAACATGGAGGAGATGGTTTTGGAGGGTTTTTGTAACCCGGCCTCCAAACCCATATAAGTGTTTCATTTTCAAGTTCCCCAAATTGAGAGATTTGGAAGGATAACAAATTAAATGACAATTTTAGCTAAATTTTAGATCAATATAAATTCAACTACCGTAGTATTTGAATTCATCATATATGTGAAATGATTTTAATTATAACTCATCTATAACCTCTCTCTTTTCAAATTTGTTACTCCCAAATAAGAATAAGAGTTTCCTCCCATTTTCCTCTTTCATTTTGAGAACATTCTCTTCCCCTTCCCTTCAAACTTCCAAACATACCCTTAGGGGTGATGTATGTAAAAGGAAAATTGCAAATCTAGTAGGGTATGATTTGAGACCAAAATGAGTTGAGGTTTTTAACTTTCGTCACGAACTTTCTCGCAATCAAGATGAGCACATACATAACATATTAATTTACTCCCCGTACATGTGAGTCTCTTCTCCTTTCATCTTTTATAATAACTCAGCACTTACGTTTTTGTGTTGATTGCGTTACATTTTAGGCCAGGTACGTAATTCCAAGGATGAAAACCAGCAGTCATCAATACATAAGGCAACTGATCGATCGAGAGAGCCGCTTCATATACTGTCACTCAATTGGTTCGGTCTATATATATCTAAACACGTGCCATGCATTTGTGATTCCCTTAGGTTTGATAAATAAAAAAGTGGTGATATAATGGGCAGTTCTGGTCAAAGTAGCAATATCATCAAAAACCACGACTTCAAAGGTGGGTTACAAAAGTGGTACGCAAATTGCTGCAAAGCCTTTGTGGATAGTAGTGGTGGCTGTGCTTATGCTGTGATCACGAATAGAAGGGAATCGTGGCAAGGCCTAGAGCAGGAAATCACTGGTCGTGTCTCCAAAGGTCACATTTATTCGATCCAGGCTTTTGTGACGGTCTCCGGCAAACTTCCGGCGGTGACCAGCGCAGTTCAGGCCACCCTCAGGCTGTCATTCAAACGTTCCGCTACGTGCTATCTTTCTATCGGGAGGTATACAATACATTAGAGAATCTAAGTAATATTTTCATTAGAATTTTTTAATAGCAATTCTCAAAATTGTTTTCTCACGTTAGAAAACAGTTTACTCCTATTTTTTCATATTTTCTTATATTTGCATCCATTGCCTAGCCTCCAACTAACAAATTAAAAAGAATTAATTGATATTTTTTGTGGTAAATATTGCAGAAAGACCGTTAAGCCGAACTGCTGGGAAGCTCTGGAAGGCACCTTTTCATTGTCCACAAATCCTGACCAAGTCATCTTTTACCTGGAAGGTGCCGAACCTGGCGTAGACATACTCGTTAAATCTGTCACCATTTCGCCTTCCTCTCCGGCCCTAAAATCTGACCACACAAAAGCCAGCGTACGTTGCTAGACATATAAGGCACACGTTTTAAGTTCATATTCATAATTTGATTTCACACATATTAAGGAAATAAATTTACAGAACGGTTAATTTTATCGTAGATTGATCTGTTTTGGCACTGTTTTTCACCGTTTTGGCCTGTTTTCCACCGTTTTGGCACTGTTTTGGTGTAAATTTGTTTGTCAACTAAGTGTGTACTTGTTTGGCATATCCAAAAAAGGAAAGTGAGAACTTAAATAGAGAATGGAGGGAGTAGTTAAAATTCTAAAGGGAAAATTCCCAAAATAGGAGTAAAAGAGTTTGAAAATTCCAAAAGGTCTATCATATTTTTATTCCCAAAATAGGAGTAATTACTACCAATTTTGGAAAATACCGTCATATTTAAAGTCTGGTATTGTCAAAAAATGACAGTAATTAGTCCTATTTTGGGAATAAAAAAACATTAGTTCTATTTTGGAATTTACAAACGTTTTTAGTAAAAATTTCCCAATTCTATAAAATATGATTCAATTAATACTACGTATGTTTATCCCAAAAATAAGACTTTTTAGTTCTTTTAAAAGAATAAAAGAAATTCTAAATAATTGTTGATCAGGAGACCTAGCTATATCAGAATTAAACGCATAACAATACTCCTACTTGATAATGTGTTGTTTTTGCTACTACGTGTGATTTATCTTATTTAGAGCTAGATTTTTCTCTACTGAATAGCTGTCATTATATTGCTAATTGCTTGGCCGCCCTTTTTAATTTACAACATCTACCTCTAGAAAGCAACTATCAAGAATAAAGATGTGGACTTGATAGAGATCAATTCTGATTTATAGGGCCTTAGTATAAATATTATTTCTTATATGGTTATTTTTATAACCTTCTATAAATATATAGTATAAATAAAAGCTACTGCTATTATTGAAAAGTAATCAATTCATTCATCTACTCTTGTAAACCCTAATGTTCATTAATTCTCTACACTTGTAAACCCTAATGTTCATCACGATCATCTATCTTCTCTTTCTGAGTTTTGAACTCTTCGATTAATTCAATTCATCTACTTCAATTAGCAGCTTGATAGTTGAATCTCAATAGTAACAGCCACGTACTAGCTGCCATTGCTAGGCGGTTAGCCATCATTGAAGTCTAAGGGACAAAGACCTAAATATTACTTAAACATAAGGAGTATAAACTTTCCTAGTATATGACTATTTATATGTTTGGATGTCATAAATGACTATAATATCATACGGAGTATAAGATATGTGACAAATGAGTGGTTCATAATAGTTTCAAAGAGCAAGACTAGGTATATCATGCATCATTTTAGGGAAAAATCATACTCCGAATGTAATTATATATTGAGAAAACACGTGTCTTTTAGTAATATTAGTGATAACTTTCACAAAAGTAACTCTAAATTCGAATAAGGATTCATAGCTAATCATAGGAGGCACGAAAGTAATTGAAACTCTTATTTTGAGAATTTAAAACATGTATTCTTATTTTGGTATTTTTATTTTAGGGAAATACTTTTTAATTATTTGTTTCATATGCACGTAGGATCAAAAGAAGAAAGAAGGGATTGAAAGGAAACATGAAAAACATCATCTTCAAGTTGCTAATAATATAATACTTAACTATGACTTCCACCAAGGTTTTCTTGGGTGGGAAACCAATGGTTGTCAAGGAAACGTGGTGAAAGGAGATTCTGGCAGCTCATACGCTGTCATTACAAACCGCGGGATAAATTACCACGGCTTGCTGCAAGATATCACCAATCGTGTTTGTCAAGGTTGCCCTTATTCAGTGGAAGCTTGCGTTAGAGTTTCAGGTAACATTGTGGGATTTACAGATATCCAAGCCACACTCAGATTGGAGTACAAAAACTTGGATACTCAATATCACTTTATTGGCAGGTATTATCCCATAATTTTTTTTGTAGTGACATATGCATTCTTAATTAATCTTTTTCTTATGTTTATATAATATACTAACCTTTCATTTATTATCAGTACTCATCATTTAAACCTTATGACACATATTAGATCATGCACCCAATTATAATTAAGCTAGTACCTTAATTTAAAAGATTTGCAAGTTTTTTCTCTAATTTTCAGTTGTGTCGTTTTCAGATTTTATCATGTAACTAATAAGTCTATGAGAGAATTTCCTAAATAAGACTAAAAGAAGATAGAATTGCAAAAATAGGACATAATGTTTTAAATTGCTTTAATAGGACTAATTATTTGTATTTAGACAAAAATACCCTTCTTAATTCAATCTTGGAACATATCACCGCCTCCCACACCTAGATGCACAGATAAAGAGGCCATTTGTGACGGAGAAATCCCAGATGCGCAGAACCATCTGATCTTCCAAAAGCCGCTGCTCGTGGATACCACACTGCCGCCAGTCTTCTCCAATCTCCGGCGACCGCACATACCTTCTAATTTGTCTGATGTGTCGTTTTCAGATTTTATCATGTAACTAATAAGTCTATGAGAGAATTTCCTAAATAAGACTAAAAGAAGATAGAATTGCAAAAATAGGACATAATGTTTTAAATTGATTTGATAGGACTAATTATTTGTATGTAGACAAAAATAGCCTTCTTAATTCAATCCTGGAACATATCACCGCCTCCCACACCTAGATGCGCAGATAAAGAGGCCATTTGTGACGGAGAAATCCCAGATGCGCAGAACCATCTGATCTTCCAAAAGCCGTTGCTCGTGGATACCACACCGCCGCCAGTCTTCTCCAATCTTCGTCGACCGCACATACCTTCTAATTTGTCTGATGAATTAAAGGCCGGATAATTTTCTTCATCTTCTCTTCGATCTCTTCTCCACTCTTTCACCCTCCTCTCCTCTCCTGTACCAATTATTGTCTCCTGTGCGATGAAGTCACATACGAGGTCCTTTTGTTTTTTATTTTTCATTTATTTATAGTTAAAAACTTTCAAAATTCTTTAATTTTGATTGCTTTCAAAAATGCCACTTTTATAAATTTTTGAATGTCAAAATTATTGGTTATTTTAAAAAACTGCCACGTTTATGTCATTCTCGCATATCATGTGGCATTCCTCATGGAGGTCTGCACAGAGTCATTGGAGGGCAGATCCTTTATTTGTCACTTTTATGTCATTACAATATTTGAAAACGTCATATCGAGAATGTCATATTTCTAAACGAACAAAAACACAAGGATGTCATTTGCTAAAGTGACAGTTTCAAAGAAGAAATTGACATTTCCAGAATAATAATGTCACTTTCATGACATTTTCAGATTGTCATCTTGGTAATCATAATGCTAGGAACGTGACATTTTTTCCCAATAACCAATAATTTTGACATTCTCATATTATACAAGGGACATTTTACTGAATAAATACAATTCAAATCCAAAATATCCAAATTAAGAAATAAAATTCAAATCTAAAAAATCCAAAGAAGAATAGAATAGAGGACCAAAAATTTGAGGAGGATTAGAAGAAGAAAAATATTACTCCGTATAAATGAAGTAGTAAATCAGTTTTGGAACCTTGTTTTAATTTCTCTTCCAAAATCTCTAAATCAAAATAATTTTCTTAGAATCTCAAAAGTAAGAAAGTGTTAAAGTGAAATTAAAAATAAAATAAAATAGGAACAAGAGGACCAGAGTCAGGGGCGGAGCTAGGGGGTGCCCAGGCTAGGCCTTGGCCCACCCCAAATTTGAAAAATGTCAATATTTTTAGTGTAAAAAATTTCGTGTAAATTGTTTTCCAATAATATTCTTTGTACCGACCCAGTCTAGCCCATTGTCCTGACTACGCCCCTGACCAGAGTCGTACAGGAGAGAAGTGAGGAAGAGAAGAGAAGGATAGAAGAGAAGGAGAGAAGGAGAAGAGAAAGGAGATGAAGAAAATTGCCGGGCTTTATCGGAGCTTTAGAGTCGGCGCATCTGGGTTTCTTCATCACATATGGGTCTGCGCATATAAGTGTTGGAGTCGGTGACATATTCCAGGGTTTAATTAAAGGAAGGGCAAAAATGTAATCAGTTGTCCTATTTAGGGAATACTCCCTCCGTCCCTAATAACTTTGCCAAGTTTGACCGGCACGGGAATTAATAAAGTAAAAACTGTGTGGTTGAGGTTTGTGCAGAGGAGAGAGAATTAACTGGAACCACAAATTCTTTACTTAAATGAGAAAGTGGCAAAGTTATTGGGACATCCAAAAATGGAAAGTTGGCAAAGTTATAAGGGACGGAGGGAGTAATAAATTTTAAGTCCTATTTTGGAGTTTTAACTATGTTTTAGTCCTGTTGTCCTATTTTGGAGTTTTAACTCTGTTTTAGTCCTGTTTAAGACAATTTCTTTTTTTTTTAATCCATTTTAAGGACTTTTACTAGGGGGAAACATCCCCAACATAAGTTTTTTTTAACGAAAATAAATGTATTTGATACGTGAAAAAATGGGCAAAAGTAAAATAACATGACTTGATTTCTAATTATCCCGCACTAATTCTAGCTCAACCTACTTGCAGGAAACCTGTTTCGACAAACAATTGGGAAATATTGGAAGGCACTTTCACCTTGTCTACTAAACCGGATAGGGTATTGTTTTTTCTAGAAGGGCTTTCTGGTGGAGTAGAAATGCTCGTAAAATCAGTCATAATCTCATATGTCTTCCCGTCCCTTGTTATGTGATGTGAGGAGTGGATTAAATTCTAGACTTTCTCCTATTTTATCCATGTCTTCTTTAATTGGAATTACTTTATATAGAATTGCCCAAGATATAGTCCCTAATATATTTTGAGGATAATATAGAACAAGTTTCTAAAGTTCATTCCATGTTATTGGCGTATTGCTTAGTTATTTAGTTGCAATGGCGGCGAGACCCGTTGCCAAGAGGTAAAGTGTCCCACCCAGCGGCGGAATTTTCGGTAGCAGGGGTGGCAGTACAAAAATATACATACAAATACATATACATTAAAAATTTTGGGGTAAATATACCTAGAATTTTTTTTGGAGGGCCAGCAGCCCCCATTTGTCACCCCTCTGTCCGCCACTGGTCCCACCGTCCCATATTTGTCATGTATAACTACTTCAAAATCACTCCGTATTAAAAAAAAATAATTATAAAAAATAAATACGTACAATAATGGTAAAAGAGAAAAAAGAGAGTAAATAATTACCTTTTGTCTCATTTCATTTTCAACCCAATGAAATCAGTGGAATAAATATGAAAGAGAATTCTTTTTGATCAACCAATGTTAAAGTTAAATTTTTTATTGATAATTAGTTCAATTTTTAATAATTCAAATTTACGTATTCAGAAATTACATTAAAATCTCTTCAAAGCTAAGTTGAAGCTCCAAATTAAATATAATTAAAATTTGACATTCTACTTATGTATGGAATTGTTTGATCAAGAAAAGTTAATTTTGCAAATCAATTTGGGAAGAAGGTAGTATTAGATAATTAATAAATTTAAGATAAATTATAGTAGTACAAATTTAAATAATTAAACAATACATCGGTCCGATTCCAGGCTTCCTATAAATTAGCAAAGGCGGTGAAAATATGAAGAGACTAGTCAAAATAATGGTATAAATATAAATTTAAATAATTAAACCATACTTCGGTCCAGTTCAGTATGGTACCGGTTCTCATTTTATGAGAACCGGTCATGACATTGTTTAGAACCGATACGGTCCAGTTCGGGACAAAAAATTTGAGATTCATTTCAAACCCCATTTTTCGATCATGTACTATCGGTTCGGTTTGATACCATGTTGGTTCGGTACTTTTTCCCACCCCTAACATAAAAGACCATGTGCTCAATCAATAAGACAGTTCGAACTACCAAATTACTACGTATATTTTTACAATGTGCACACCCCAAGTTTGATTAACAAATTAAACACTATAATATGGGGTACGTGTGTGTATATATAGGGATTAGTTCCTGTGAGAACACCCTCTTAGGAGAGGGAAAAAGATTAAAATCCAACCATTGACTAACCTTTAATAACTCTAATCTGATGGCTTAGATGAATTCTGAAATAGAGTAATTTTCGGAGGAGATTGGGGTTTTAAAAATTTAACGTGCAACTATATACTTATATTAAGGGCATCATGGTAAAATTTTTCATGATGGATATCACGCATGATGCATCATAATAGGAAATCCTCCTAAAAAAGTGGATAGCAATTCATACGTAATAACTTCTTCCATAATTAGCATCATTTATTGTAAAAAATACTTTCTCTTACTTTATTTTATTTCCAAATTTAAGATATTCTAGCATATAATTAAGATAATTATTTTGAACAAAGCTTTCTTTTGTAATTCGTGCATTAATTTTCTTATTAATCATTTTTTTCTTTTCAAATGTAATATTCATCAATGAGTCAAAATGATTTATTTATTCCATTCCAACATTCAAAAGATGCACTTTTATTCGAAACTGTATATAACATCAATTCAGTTAAATGTTTACACATATTAGGTGTAGAAGTGCACTTATTGTAATCTAAATGTGCATTTTAAGTATAAACAAAAGTGCATTATATTATTACATTTTTGAAGTTTATACATTGGCACTTTTTTAAAAAACAAAATGCACATTTTTACAAAATAAAATGCACTTTTATAATGTGCATAGTAACTACATAAACAAGTGCACTGTTATATTACACACTTTCTAAAACTTTAATTTACAATGATTCTTTTTACAAAATCAAATATAATGCACTTTTCTTCCAAAAGCCCCATGGTAATTCCATTATAATGATGTCTCCTAATGTCACGTGTGTCTGAAAAAAACAATGAAAAGTGCATGAACAAAGTATGATACACCTAGAGTCGCTGCCATGGACTGCAGGCGTGGTTTCCATGGTCCCTTGTGTGGATGAAGATGCAGGATTTTTGTTTCTCTGGCCCCAATTTCACTGCACTAGTAGAAAAAGGGCTTACAGTGACACTAATTTAGTGTCGCTAAAAGTTTTTGTGACACTAAAAAAGTGTCGGAAAAAGTGTCGGCTAGTGACACTAAATATAGTGTCACTGATCATAAAACATAATAGTGTCAGTAAATTGTGACACATTAATGTAATACAAATTATGACACCTTGGTATCACTAAAATTTGTGACACTTTGGTATCATGAAAAATACGACACATTCGTGTGACACTAAAGTGTCGGCCAGTGACACTAAAGAAAGTGTCACTAATACGGGAACGTTTTTGTGTCAACGAATTATGACACTAATGTGTCGTCTAAGAAAGTGACATTTGTACATCAGGACAAATTGTGATACTAATTTGTCACAAAATTTAGTGACACTTCAGCATCATAGATTTTTATGACACTAATGTATCATTTAAGATAGCGACGTTTATACATCAGAACAAATTGTGATACTAATTCATCACAACATTTAGTGACACTTCAGCATCATAGATTTTATGCATATTGAGTAGAAATCTAATTTATTTTATTCATAAATAAATATAGCATCCAAAAATTAGTGGATACCCAAACACATACATTTAAGAAAAAATATTCAGTAAAATATTCAGTAACAACTTCATATTCTTGTTCATTTACATTTCCTACCACTGGATAAAAGATGTAGCAAAATTCCAGCAACATTCCCGCAAAAAAATAGCCATACAATTCTTGCAAAAAAAAGCGGCTATAGAATCCAGCAAAAAAACTACTACCAAGCATCATTGAAGATGCTAAAATACAAACGAAGTCACATTCCCAACAAGTACCAATGTTTAGTTATCAAAAGTGTGACCAGCTGCCTGCCTCTACATTCTACATAGATAACATAATTAACACCGACCATCAACAATATAATCCGAAATGCATCTCCCCGTGCATACCATCAAGCCTTTGTAGGATCCGCTTGCAAACTACACATCAAACAAAATATAATATTACAACCATATTATATATATGAAACTTATTTTCAGTTTATTTTAAATGTGAACTTACTTTTTTATCAAAGTAGCAGCATACAAAGCCCACTCCTCACGCACATGTAAAATATCATCTTCGGTATACTCCTTGATTGTAGAGAACTTCAATATAAAATTAAATTAATTAGCACTTACTTTATTACAACATACAATAATTTAATTAACAAAAATCAAAAGTTCCAATTGCGCTCACATTCCGTTTCAACAGATTCACGTCTGATACAATGTCCTTCATATACTTCATCAAGAAGTAACCACACTCAACTACTCCTGTTTGTTTAGGACACTGCATATATTCAATTAAAATAGACAGTAAATACAAACCATAGATTTAGTAAAAACAAAGAACAAGTTATAGTAAAGCACCAGTTCTGTTTGTTACCTTATACAGTCAAGAAACTTCTAATCCAAGTATAATACAGTTTACACACATATATAAAGTGTCGACTTAGATAATTAAATTTATACTAAAACTGATAATGAATATAAAAATGTACATACCATTACTCTCACCCATTTCAAATTCAACCTTGTCTTAGATTTTTGGGCATGATTAATCGTCACCCCTCTGAAAAGGAAACACACGGTCATTATTAAATTCAACCGATCCAATATTTTTTCATAATCTGTACATGCAATCAAGATTTACATTTAAAGGGCCTATGTAACTTAACTGGTTCACTATTTCCTCCAAATCTTTCGTTGGAATTCCTCCTATTGAATCTAGGTAGTAGACTGTTTGAGCCATCATGTCGATAGCAACCAGCACCCAATGATTCCTACATAACAAGGTCACTATATGTAAATATCTCTTAGAAACAGATTACAAAACAGGACACAAATAGTTTGCAAAACAGATTACTTACCCGGTATTATAGGGGATTAAATTCATTTGCCCAGGCAAGGAAATATCCAAAAGATCGGCTATATATTGTGACCTTCTTGTAATCGCTTGGTGTGATGCCTTCTTTGGTATTGCTATGGCAGCAGAAGTGCCAAACTGAACTGGCATGTCCCCTCCATCAACCTCCATTTTTTCATGCAAGTGCCTATTAAGTCATTCCAAGTAGGAACTTATTACAGTAAGATACTAGTAAGTTGGAGGGGTAATGCATATATAATTACGAAACTGCCAATGTTTATGGCCTACAATAGTGATCCTTCAAACTGGTTTTCTTTTAACATGGGTCTCCCATGTTGGAAGGGCTCACTGTAGGTTTCTTTATACCATTGTGGGATTGTTGTTGGCCTTAAGTACTCATGCATGTGCTAGTTTGGGTGAAGAGCAGGACTAATGATTCTTTTGCTGGCCCATCAGATTATCCAACCACATGTATGGATTCTATTTTAAGCTTAGTCACTAGCAGGGGCTATACAAACTCATGATTCTAGTTTTCACACATTCATTTTGATGTCTATAATAGGATACTATTATTTCTTCATACTTTAATGCAATGATTTTCAAGCAACTGAATTTAATATATGCCAAATGGGAACTTATTACCTGGCCCAGATTTCAACAACTGAATTTGAAACTTGCTCAAAGTTGATAACCAAGCGACAAATGCACTTTTATTGTGAAGGATAAAATATCGCCTAACATGTCACCAATTTCATTTTGATCATGAAATGTTGATTGTGAAGGATAAAAGGTCGGAGTTTTGGTTGGAGTTTTTCCAGTCTCTCCATGCCTAGTCCAAACAAGGTACGTTTCCAAGAAACCAACTTTTAACAAATGCACTTTTATTTGTTCAGGCTTATGAAATTCCATATTACAACAACTTCTACACGGACACCTAAGTGATCTACGATTTTCTGAGTTAAGCATAGAAAATTGTAAGAATTCATCAACTCCATT